ACTTAGTGAGACCCTGTGTCAAAATGAAAAATAAAAAGATTTTGGAATTTTCTTTGCCTCATATCTCCCCACTTTGAGAAGAGATCTAGAAGAAGCCAAAGTTTTATAATCCTGGAAGATCCAAAGGGAGTAGTAGACATAATAGTGAGGGCTCTTAAGGAGGAAACTTTACTTTCCATATACCTTTGTCTTGTCTTGGTTGAACTCTGTTCAGGGATATATCATGGTTTGCCTTATACCCAGTCAGCCCAAGTGTTCTGCRTGAACACTTTGGGTACATTGGTGCTTGATTCTTCCAATTCATTCATTCTGGTGCTCAGGAAATAAAATGATACCCTGAGGGCATGGGACATCTCTGCTTTTGCTGTGAGATTTTATTCTTGTCTGGTTTCTACATAGTGACTGCCTCCGCCCACTTCCTCTTCAGCCAGCAGCTGCCACGGGGAACTCTGTGGGTCAAGCAGCAGCAGCCGAAAGATGCTCTCACTGCCCACTTCCTGTAGACAAGGAGATTTGGGTGGGCTGCTGAGGAACTGTGCCAGCCCTGTATCTGACTGGGGACTGACTCATGAGAAAAGTAGCCTTATGTCTGAAAGAAAAGAGCCAACAAATCACCTCAGGTGATGTTAATTTGGAGGTGACTGACCACTCATTTCCTTTCTTTGAAAGGAGATGGTGGGGAGAGAATCAGTAAATAGTCCTACTTGTGTTTTTCTCCAGGTATTTGTGAAGGAGCCCAGCAGATAGTTTTCCATGCTAGAGTGGCCAGTGGAGCCTGGTGCCCTCTGAATCCCTCCTGTTGCTGTTAGGGTAGCAGACTTATGTGTCATCCATCCTGTGTCTTCCCTTCATTATCCTCTCTTTCTCTTGCCAGGAAATTTGCTGTTTGCATCAAGGGAACTCTGCTAGTTCCATTGCTGCCAGATTTTTCTGAGGCTAGCCAAACCCCATCCCACTGATAATGGGTTTTCTCCCTCACAAAAACTTGGTACCCTGTCCTAAGAATTGATCAGAAGCAGTGGTTCTGATTCATTGTCCCTTGGCTGGGCTTAGAGGTCCAGGCAGGTGGGTCTGCCTTGCTTCCCCTCCCCTTTTCCCTCTCCACCCCTCCTGCCTCACTCCCATTTCCTGCAGGAGGATGCTTTGCCATCCTGGAGCCGTCAGGCACAGCTTTCCTTTGGCAGCACCATTGCACACACACTGGTGGGAGAGGGGACGTGTTTATCACTTTTCCTGGAGATTATCTGTTTAAGCACTTCTCTGACAGTTACAATAACAAGGGTAGTGTGTTGTGTTTCCCAGCAGAAGGACACTTGCTGTTGAAAGATGTATAGCACTAATTAGAAATACATAACATCCGGCCACATGGCAGCCTTCTCCCGGCCGCTCCATTTCCTGATTTCATACAACTTTGACGACAGTTGGTTTATGTTTTCCATGAATATGTTCTCAGAAAAATGAGAAAGTCTCCCTGTTACATAGAAGCAAGAAGAATATTTCTGCCTGCGCAGGTATCCGGCCCCAGGAATACTGGGAGCTTTGGTTACTTGCCCACATGTGGGAAGGGGCAAAACCTAAGTTCAGACCTCAGGTGACTTTTTTGGTAAGAAAGATTTCCGTCTGACTTCCTTAGCCAAAACCATTCTCCTAAACCCTTGAGCAAGCCTTCTTTTGGAAAGAAGGGGAAAGGCTATTTCACAATGTTAATGAGTTCCTCAGCTCATGTCAGGCTCCTGCTACCTGACACAAAGCCAGAGGAACCCAGGCAAATACCAAGGCAAACAATGCCTTTTCCTCCCCACCCCACATAACTCGTTGGCCTGGCCCAGCCCAACTCCAGGGATATATATGGACATTCATCATACTAGGGCCAGTTTCTTAAGTCTAACCCCAAAGTGGGTGGGCTCTGGGAGTCTAGATGTAGTTTTCCCACTCAGCTATATAAGGGTGAGTACACTGAAGGAGTAGTATCTATGGCTTCTAGCCCACAGAAGTCTACATGAGGCCAAGAGCATTCTCTGGAGGTACTATGCAGTTAGTACATTTTTTTACTTGAGGCACTGGATCCAAGTTGCCATAGTTACTTGGATAAATAATGATTTTCATCAGTCTACTGAAAAGTCTTCCTGTTGCAGAGACAATCATTCATTTGTAGCTTTGTTCTCCACAGTACCTAGCACATTATAGATGCTCATTATGTGTCTGTGGTATATCAGGGAGCCATGGAGAATAATAAGCCTTGTAGAAATTGCTCCAGTTTTTTAGCATGGTCATTGTAGGGCTGAGCAAGATCCAGACATTATGGATAGTTCATAATGTATCCACCTGCTTTATCAAAGCAGAGCAGCTTTCTGGTTTGTGCTTCCCCACCAGTTGGACCAGACACATAAGCAGTATTCTCAGGCCTTTCCCTGAGAAGGTGTGAGGGTGGAGAGGTTGAAGACACGTAAACATGCAGAGCAGTCAGGAAGCTGCCTTCTTTCTGCTGCTCTTAGAGGTAGTTGAGCCGAAAAAATTTTCTGTTTTGCTATCCTACCTGGTTCTACACCTTATTACAGGAGCCAATCTTGACTCCCCAGAGGTTACAGATACTGTTACTTTTAAAAAGTTCATTCTTCCTTGGGCTAGGGATGTGGCTCAAGCGGTAATGCGCTCTCCTGGCATGCTCAGGGCGCTGGGTTCGATCCTCAAACCACATAAAAATAAAGTTGTTGTGTCCACTGAAAACTGAAAAATAAATTTTAAAAAAAGTTCATTCTTCCTCTTGATCCCTTGAACTCTGAGATCTAGTCTGTGATTGCCATTTGTTATAAAAGTGAAATGGGCTGCTAGGATGGTGGCACACACCTATAATCCCAGCGACTCAGGAGGCTGAGTTAGGAGGATCACAAGTTCGAGGCCAGCCTCCTCAATTTAGCAAGACCCTGTCTCTAAGTTTAAAAAAATCCTTAAAAAGGCAAGAGTTGGGGGCTGGGGCTGGGGCTCAGGCTAGGTGGTTAAGGATCTCCAAATTCAATCCCCAAAACCAAAAAAAAAGAAATGGGTTTAGTGAGAATAATCTCCCTCTGGTCCCATTTTATTCTTATCCAGGCTTTTGAATGTCTTACTGTAGCCAATCTTTTGGAAGGAGGAGACTCCATCCCTTCTAGCCTTCTGGGTACAGGTCATTTCTGCCTCAGATGTCAAGACAATGTGGGGACACTAGTGTTTATTCAGTGTGTCAACGATCAGGATATGGCCTCTATTCTATCATGTCTTACTTTGTCCTGGATTTATTCCTTTATTCTTAAATTTATTACTAATTAGAGACAGGCTGCTGGTAATGCTTGGCAGGGGCCTGGTCCGAGCTGGGTGGAACTGACAGTGTTGCTGCTTATTGGGGGAGCGAGGAGTTGGCAACTTTTTTCTAGGGATGGCATACATGTCTTCTGCTTCCCTGCTTACATCCTCCCTCCTCTGGATGCTTGGATACTTGCTTGATCTCTTTAAGAGGTCCAGAAGACAGAGTAATGATCTATTCTCATCCCATAGATTGTTACCACTTCCTTACTGTCTGCTACAGTTGAGTTGGAAAGTTAGAGGGTGACATGTGGGACCAGTAGGCATCTGGAAGAACAGTGGGGAAGCCACAATAGAAGAATTTCTCCTCTGATGCTAGTCTCATGTTTGGACCCTTCTGAGCAATAGCCTGCTCCATATTTCTAGGACTTTGAATGTGGTTTGGGGCAGGGCTGGGACTGTAGCTTGGTGGTAGAGTTCTTGCCCAGCACGTGTGAGGCACTAGGTTCAAACCTCAGCACCACATAAAAAATGAATTAAATAAAGGTATTGTGTCCATCTACAACTAAAAAAAATAAATAAATTTTAAAAAGAAAGAAAGAAAGTGGTTTGGGGTGGGCTTTGTGTGCTCCAGTCATAGTTACTCCTGTGGTGAAGACTCTTGGGAATAGCTGTGGTTGTGTAGCATCTCCTGGAGTAACAACTTCAGTCAGGCCCATTGATAAGACTAGTGAGCTGACAGAAGTTAAAATGCAGGCAGGGACCAAGATCAAACGTATGGCTAATTATCCTTTTCACACTTAGAAGATTGAGTTCTCCTGCATTACAGAAGGAATTAACAGATAAGTTGCAGCCAGAGCCAGTGAGGTCAGCCCTTGTGTCCATCTCCTGTGGGTGTTGGGTGTCTCCTCCCTTGAGGCTGCAGGTTGGACTTCTGTTTGTCACCAGTTCCTCTCAAGCCAGGATGAAATAGCTACTGGGGAGGCCACTGACAACCAGTAGGTGCCAACAACGATGTGGGAGAATATCATAAGCTCCCACCAAAAACTGCTCACTGGCAAAGTGGCTTCTTTCAGTGACCTGCAGCCAAAAGGTCATTAGCCAGGCTAAAAAACTGAAGGTAAGAGGATGCTGGTATGGGAACTAGCCCTAGGGAGAAATAAAAATAAAAGGTAACTTATTAAGTGCATAGTATGTTTCAAGCACTGTTCTGTGTAACATTATTCAGTTAAAAAAAATAGGTTGATTGTGTCATGTGTGTTGTCTTAGGAGGAGGTTCATAGAGGTAGGCATGGACCCAAAGGCTGGTGATTGAAGAAGGTAATTTCTAAATCTGTTGATTGTGCTCTTGCTAGTTATACATTAGAGTGAGCTAATAAGTTCTTGTTACCGTAGCTTTACGTTATCAGAAGCCAGCAGAAAGCAAAAACCCTGCAGCTCTAGTCATACTGCCCACTTTCAGATACTAGGTCCTGGGAAAGTGATGTCATGCAGAACTTAAACATGTGATCCTTATAGTGTTATTGAGTGCTTATTCATACAGGCTGGACATGCAGGGAAGTACTTGACATACATTATCTTACATAGCCTTGTAACCCTCCCTTAGAGGGAATACTATTATCCGTAGTCTTCAATGAGAACAAGGAATCTCTGAAACATAGCCAAGGGGGCACCCTTCATAAAATAGGGGAGTAGTGATGGTTTTCTTTGCCTCTCCTCAGACTGCTTCTCAGAGGAGTGTCGCTCTGTGATTCAGGAGCAAGCAGCAGCCTTGGGCCTGGCCATGTTTTCTCTACTGGTGCGCCGCTSCACCTGCTTACTTAAGGAATCTGCCAAAGGTAAGCAGGAAGGGCCCTTGACCTATGGGCTTCCCAGCTGACCAACTGTGTCCAGAAGAACCTCAGAATATCAGGCTGCCTTCTTAGTGTCTTCTCCCTCTACCCTCCAGCCTTCCTCTTCCCAACATTCCCTTCTTCCTTTTGCCTCCTTAACTAATCCCATCTCTGTCATTAGTGTGATGACCTTTCAGACCCACTTTTCTCCTTGTGGGCCTATTGCCTCCCTCTTTGTTCCTTTAGTAGTTAAGATTTTCACTGTACATGAACTGCTGCTGCATGTTTCTACATCTTAAAGAAGAAGATTTGTGGTGCTGGGGATTGGACAAATTTCCCTTTTTGTTCTTAATTGATGCTGTTTTTATCCCTTTATCTCTGTGTCCTGTGTCCCTCTTCAGTACCTGGTGGGTGCTATAACTACTATAGACCATCTTAGCAGGCTTACCGGATCACAGCAAAGACTCTTTTTAGCCCTAGCATTGAGGTATTATGCCATATCCTTTAAGGTATCCTGATTGCTGTAGCCCAGTAAGGTAGAGCTGAAGGTCACTCTTTCCTGTCCACTCTGCATCAAAGTTGATAAAAGTAGCAAGGTCCCTCTGTCGCTCCCTGCCAAGCTAACTTTGTGAATGCCTCTAGCCTCTAGGGCTGCTTTTTCTTTTCGGGGGAGCCACTTTTTGAAACAATTTAATATTTACAGAACAGTTGGAAGAATAGTGCAAAGAACTTTTTTATACTGCTCATCCAGACTCCCTGATATCGTATGGCTTTAAGTCTTCTGTTTATACACAACATACACAAGCTTAAGCTTATTGTTGTCCCGAATCATTGGATTTTATGTTGCAGACATGGGAGCCCTTTACCCCTAAATACTTGATTCTATTTCCTAACAACAAGGACAGTCTCCTAACAATATCAAAATCAGAAAATCAACAATTTTTGAATCTGTAGGCTGTATTCACTCTGTACCAATTGTCCTAGTAATGTTTTTTGTAAAGAAGAAAAAGCCAGATGCAGTGGTGCACACCTGTAATCCCAGCACCTCAGGATGCTGAGGCAGGAGGATCACAAGTTCAAAGCCAACCTCAGCAACTTAGTCAGACCCTGTCTCCATAAAAAATAAAAAAAGGTTGGGGATATAGCTCAGTGATAGAGCGTTCGTCTAGCATGCTTGAGGCCCTGGGGTCAGTCCCCAGTACCACAAACAATAGCAACAAACCTAAAGGGAAAAAAAAAAGAAAATGTAATGTAGTGTTGTTTTTTATAATCCAGGATCACACATTGCATTTAGATGCCTTATCTCTTTAGTCTCCTTTAGTCTGAAATGACTTCTCAGTTTTTCCGTGTCCTTCATGACTTTCACATTTTTGAAGAGTATAAGCCATTTATTTTGTAGAATGCCCAACAATTTGGGTTTCTTCATGATTAAATTCAGGTTGTGCAGTTTGGGCAAGAACTGTGGTGCTGTTTGTGGCTGAAGGAAAGCTCAAGGGTGGGCTGGTAGCCAGAGTAGAGACTTCAGCTGGGCCACAGGTGAAGCAAAAATAGCTGTCTCCAGGGGCAAACCCAGTGCACTGGTTCTCTCTTTGTCCTACTTTTCAGAATCCTCTTAGGTGCTGGCACTTGTCCTCGCTTCTGAGCCCAGCTTTCCTGTGGACTGGTCTCCCTTCCCTAAGAGCTTGCTGCCGTCCCAGCGCCCCAGGCCTCACTCCAGGGCCACAGCAGACATAGGCCCAGTTCTCACCCTTTGCCTCTGCAGCTCAACTGTCCTCTCCTGAGGACCAGGATGATGAAGATGACATCAAGGTGTCTTCCTTTGTCCCGGACCTGAAGGAACTGCTTCCCAGTGTGAAAGTGTGGTCTGACTGGATGCTTGGCTACCCAGACACCTGGAATCCTCCACCCACATCCCTGGATCTGCCCTCACAGTGAGTCAGCCTGCCTGTTCCTTCCGCAATGCCGGCCTTAGCCCACCTGTGTTCCTACAGCTCCCTTCCTTGTCCTGTTCTTGTTTCCCCCACCTGCAGCCCACGTGTTTCCCTGTTCCTCCTCACTTGAACTTTGGTTTCTCCCTTCCTCAAACACTTTCCTTGTCCTCTGATGTTTTAGGTTATGGGGGCCTGTTTTCCAGGCCTGTTCTTCCTCCTCCTGTGCTTTCTCTTACTCTGTACCTTGCCCTCTCTTTTGTTCTTTGTCATTGTTCTTACTCACTTGTTAGGCTTGATATTGTTGTGTGTCTTGCTTACCATCTCCTTAGCTGCCTATGGAATCTGAGTGTATATTGGTAAGTGTAAGAAACTTTGTCTCTTTCTCTTCCTTTTAGTTTTTCTCTGTATCTTTCAAGGATCTCACTGCTGCTTATGTTATATTCTGCACTTAGTCTCCTTGCCTCCTCTCATGGCATTTGGTGTGTAAAGAGGGTGAGTGTGTACATCTCTCTTCATTATTTCTTCGTTCACTCATTTCCTTTCTCCTCACATTGCCCTCACCCCTGTCTCATCTCTCTATGTCAGTGTGGTATCTGACAGAGTGAGATATGTTGGTCTGGGTGTATGTTATGTCCCCCTGATTGTTCTGTGTAGTTATGTTTTTCCTATGGGTTTTTTCTTTCTTTTTAAAAATGGTGATAAAATATACAACAAAATTGCCATCTTAATTATTTTTATATTTTAACAATTCATTGGCATAAATTACATTCACATTATTATACAAGCTGTTATGGCTGTTTCTATATCTGTATTTTGGTTGTGTCTGATTCTGCCTGCCTGGTTCCATTTGTCTATGTGAGTTTGTGTGTCTTAAAGTCTATCTGTGCCAAGTGTGAAGGTCTGTGTATTTCTGCTTTTGTGGAATTCTCTCTACGGGTCTTCYAGTGTGCCTCTCCATGGCTGCCTGTATACATGTATCCATGTGGCCTTGGCCACATGTGGCCACATATGTTGTATCCATATGTGTTCATGTGTTACATATGTACCTGGATCTATATCTGTTTGCATCTATGTGTATATATTCTTGGGTCTGTTTTTATGTTCAGGATTCATGTATCTCCATAGGTGTCTGTTTCAGTGTCTGAGTCTATGTCAGTTTAAATCTACTTTGGTCCTTCTGTGTTTGCCTGTGTGACTGTTTCCTATGAGAATGTGTGTGTTTGTATGTCTCTGAATGTCTCTGTTGATGTCCATGTTTGTCCTTAACCAGATCTGTAATGTGTCAGTTTGATTATCACTATATGCCAATCTGGATTTCTCTCTTGGAGAGAGATTCTATGTATGTGGGTCTGCATTGTGAGTGCCTGCCTGTCTCTACCTGCCTGTGTTATTGGTCTCTGCTGGGTGTGTATATGTCTGAATCAGGGGTCAGCAAGCTAAGGATGGTGTACATTTTTAAATAGTTGAAAAAAATCAGCCAGGTGTGCTGTGCACGCCTGTAATCCCAGTGGCCCAGGAGGCTGAGGCAGGAGGATTACGGGTTCAAAGCCAGCCTCAGCATCTTAGCAAAGCACTAAGCAACTAAACAAGAGATAAAGCTTACATGCTGTCTCTAAATAAAATATGAAAAAAGGGTTGGAGATGTGGCTCAGTTGTGAAGCACCCTTGGTTTCAATCACCCCCTCCTTCAAAAAAAAAAAGTTGGAAAAAATCAAAAGACTATTATTTTATGACTCATGAAAATTATGTGAAAATCAGACTTCAGTGTCCATAAGGTTGTCTGGGAACTTAGCCATGCTTGTTTGTTTATACTCAATCTGTGGCTGCTTTCACACTACAACAACAGAGTTGAGTAGTTGCCACAGAGACCATATGGCCCACAAACCCTAAAATACTGACTACCCAACCCGTTTCAGAAAAAGCTTGCTGATTCCTGATCTGTGCGTCCCATTCTTTTCTCTGTGTTCATGTTTGCACAGTTGGGTCTGCATGTATGTGCATGTAAGCTTTATCTCTGTTAGCTCTCCTCATTGACCTTCTCTCTCTCTCTCCTGCTTGTTTACCCCTCCCATCTCTGCCCCTCTCTCTCAGTGTCACTGCCTTCCCCTCTATCCTGTGACCATCTTCTCCTTTCTCTGCTTTTCTCTTCTCTCTCCCCCATTCCCATTTCCTGCATTGTGGCCCTGACAAGTGTGTGCACTGAGACAACCCTAGAGCTATGTTGTCCATAGCTAACACCTCCCTGTTGATCTCCACGGCTCTTCTCTGGGAGAGTAGAGAATGGAGACCTTGGCTGCTACTAGGGAGTGGGGAGGGGAGTTTCTCTGGGTTGGTGGCCAGCCATTTCTCCTGTATTCATGGGTGGCCCATAGAGGGAAAGATACAGCAGAAATTTCTGGTCAGCAGTTATTGGTCTTTCTGTATAGGTTATGTAGTCTGATTCTTCCCCCACTTTTCTTCCTAAGTTTTTTCTTATTCTTCACCCCAAGAGGCACCCCTGGACTATTAATCCCACTCTCCCCAATCCCTATTGTAACTGGGGATACTTCAGACAGTTTATATTCTTCCTTTTGAGCCCTCCTGGGTTTCCAAAATGCACTCCAGGTTGAGGACCCATGAGCCAGGGTTGAGCCCTCGAGTTGGGCAGCTGGAGCCACACAAAGAACTGACAGACCCGCTGGCTGAGGGGTAGCTGTTTCTCAGCAGTAATCCCCAAAGAGTTTATATGTGCAGCTCAAGGCTGTTAATCTGTAATGCAGCAATTTGGAAAGAAAATGCCAGGAAAGGCTCAACTCTCCAAGCATCAAAGCCACTGCTTCTGAATATGTGCAGGGGCCACTGAGTAGTCCCTTCTTCCTCTCAGAGGTAGGAAGGCAGACCACCTGTCCCTGGAGGTTGGGCCTTCCTGGGTCACCTCACCTCACAATCACAGGTCCCTTAGATATAAGCCACCCATATCCTATACCATCAGGTCCGTTAACTCTTCTGTAGCACTTCTCCCTTTATCCCTGCTTCCTCTGTCACTCTTTCTGGCTTTTGTCTAGCTGAGGAAATGAAAAGCTCACACAGGAAGTGCTGGGCCTCATTTGCTTGAGGTGCTCAGTCTGTTTTCCCTTTGGATGCTGTAGCAAATGGCCCGTTGCCGGCTCTGTGAGCTGCTGCCCATCTTTGGGCAAGGTCTCAATCTGCAGCTGGGCACGTGGTTCAAGCTACAGGCATCCCCAGCTGGGCTAGAGGGGGTTGAGACACTTGAATTCTATTTGCTTTATCTTTTCAGACTTTTCTTCACAGGGAGAGCAAATCCGAGTCAATAATGTATTGAATTTAATCATCCTGTAGATAAGTTTCTGTGGTTGTAGACATCACTGATTCTCTTTGAATCTAGTTTGGGCACGAGAAATCACTGTAATTGAGAATTAGGTCCCCTTCTTCACTGTCTTATTTCTGTAACCAGACCAGCAGTTGACTGCTCTTGAATGCAAGTTTAAGTATAAAGGAGGAGATTTGCTCTGTTTTGGACTGGACCCCAAAGCATCATTGTTTAAGGTATAGTGCCACTGTTTAGCAGAGCAAACCTGTTCTTACTAGCACTGATAGTCCCATTCATAGCCTTCAGATCCAAGGGCTGGAAAAGTGCCATTAGAAATTTATCTTCCTCCTTTCTAATTTCTCTTATAGCTAGCTTTCTATAAATACCATGGATAAGAGATTGGCAAAGTATGATAGTTCTATGGATTTTAAGCTTGCATCTTATACCCACTGATCTTCCATACAATGGAATCTTTTCTACTTTAAGGTCATAGGGAATGACATACCCCATGGTTCTGTAGATGTCAGAATCGACACTCTTTGGGTCTTTTCAGACTTTATTTTGAAAAGTTTATGCATGCTCTCAAAGGAGGAGGAAGGAAATAGCTTTCACTTAACAACTCTCCTTTGCATGCTTTCATTGGTCCTTGCCTGCATTTGTTCTCTGTAAAGACATGTAAATTTCTCTGATCCTGGTGAGGTGACTATAATCTATGGTTTCCCTCACTTTTCCTCCAGGAACCCCACTCACAAATGGTTCCTCTAAAATATTGGACCCTTACTTCTTCTCATTCCTGACATTCTTGCCCTATTTTTCATTTTTTACTTTCTTACCATGGATAGTTGGAGGACCATCACAACGCATCCTCCACTGCCCAAGGGGAATTCCAAAGTTCCATTATTAGTCTCATTGGTTCTCTCCTCGTTTCCCATATTCCTCTTCTTTCTAGTCAAATTTTCTTTTCTCAGGCAGAAGCATGGAATACTTAGGATAATGATGACAGAACATCATTGGCACTACAAGGTGCAAGGATTTCAGGACCACTTGTTTCTTTCCTCACAGTGGCACTAAATAAGTCTGTGTGCTAGAGTTAGCATGTAAGTAAATTGACTTCACCTTTGTGTCTTTTAAGAATTGTAATTGTTTGGCTTCATATTTCAGAAGCTTTCTAGTATAGGGCAGTATAGCAGGATGTGGAAAGTGACCTTAACCACTGCAAAAGACAGTGGAGAGTGCATCTGTCTTTTCAGAACAGACTGCATTGCACGAAGGAGCCCTCTACTTGACCCATCTGCTAATACGGTTTCTGTGATCTTCTATGCTAGGCCTCAGATAAGAGAGAGAGGCAGTTTCTCCTCACCTCACCAAGTGAGCATGAAGAAAGGTGTGGATGACAGCTGATGGAGAGGAGCAGAGCAGCAGACTTCTCTTCGCCTAAGCATAGGGATCCTTTGCACTCCAGGACCTTGGGTAGGGGAGGGCAGTGGGACAACCTTTCACAGTCTCTGCTAGAGCCAAATCTTCTCTTGTCTTGATCTCTAGTTCTCAGTAAGTGAAAGAGTCAGGGGACTTTGAGAACATCCAAACCTAGCCCAGCTGTGGCAGTTGGTTTATTGCTTTCAGCTGGTACTTGAACCCAGGTCCTGGTCTTGGAGGCTTTCCCAGGTTTAATCCCCAGAGCTTTCTCTGC